CGCCAAGGTACTGGAGAGGAGGGTCTTATCGATAGTTGAATCTCAGATTGAGGAGGAGCAATGTGGTTTTCGCCCTGGACATGGAACTGTGGACCAGCTCTATACCCTTGCAAGGGTGATGGAGGGTGCATGGGAGTTTGCCCAACCAATCCACATGTGTTTTGTGAATTACGAGAAGGCTTATGACCGTGTCCCCAGGAGCACCCTGTGGGGGATGCTCCAGGAGTATGGGGTGGGTGGCTTTCTGTTAAGAGCCATTCAGTCCCTTTACCAGAGGAGCGTGAGTTTGGTCCGCATAGCCGGTAGTAAGTCGGACCTGTTCCCAGTGAGGGTTGGACTCCGCCAGGGCTGCCCTTTGTCACCGGTTCTGTTCATCACTTTTATGGACAGAATTTCTAGACGCAGCCGTGGTGTGGAGTGTGTTGAGTTTGGTGGCAGGAGAATCTCGTCTCTGCTTTTTGCGGATGATGTGGTCCTCCTAGCTTCATCCAACTCTGACCTTCAGCTCTTGCTGGGTAGGTTCACGGCCGAATGTGAAGCGGCTGGGATGAGGATCAGCACCTCCAAATCTGAGACCATGGTTCTCGACCGGAAAAGGGTGGCTTGCCACCTCCGGGCCGGGGGAGAGATCCTACCTCAAGTGGAGGAGTTTAAGTATCTCGGGGTCTTGTTCACGAGTGAGGGTAGGAGGGATCGGGAGATTGACAGGCGGATTGGTTCGGCGTCTGCAGTGATGCGGACGCTGAGCCGATCTGTCGTGGGGAAGAGGGAGCTGAGCCAGAAAGCCAGGCTCTCGATTTACCGGTCGATCTACGTCCCAATCCTTACCTATGGTCATGAGCTTTGGGTAATGACCGAAAGAACGAGATCGCGGATACAAGCGGCCAAAATGAGTTTCCTCCGTAGGGTGGCCGGGCTCAGCCTTAGAGATAGGGTGAGGAGCTCGGACATTCGGGAGGGACTCGGAGTAGAACCGCTGCTCCTCCGGATCGAAAGGAGCCAGTTGAGGTGGTTTGGGCATCTGGTAAGGATGCCTCCTGGACGCCTCCCCGGGGAGGTGTTTCGGGCATGTCCTGCCGGCAGAAGGCCCCCGGGTCGACCCAGGACACGTTGGAGAGGTTACATCTCCAATCTGGTCCGGGAACGCCTTGGGGCCCTGCCGGAGGAGCTGGTGGACAAGGCCGGGGAGAGGACGGCCTGGAGCTCCCTAGTTGGAATGCTGCCCCCGCGACCCGGACCCGGATAAGCGGAGGAAGACGACGACGACGTCTGAGGAATGGTCACCAACCTGTCCACCTTGCACCTTGAACTCTCTCCTCTGGAGGTAGGAGAGCTCACGTATTGAGATGATTTCCTCTCTAGTTGGTTGAGCTGTCGACTGGTGTACTGACCTTTGTTAGTGGGTGTGTCTGTGTTCTGAATCGGGTTGGGTAGGTGGTGGAGAAGAGGGCTCAGTTTGCTGGTTGGTGATGTTTTGTCTCAACATTCTGCCCAGCTCCTCATAGCTGTTGAGCATCCCTTGTAGCTTCAAGGTCTTGTTCCCTGAAGCAGTTCTGGCAGGACCTGGTCTTGTAGTCTCATTACTCCAGCTCTGTAACAACGGATCAATTGGACCAACATCATAAACTCTCCCACCAGTTTGAATCAGGTTACATATATCATCTTTAGCAGCAACATTAACAGGCTGAATAGATTGTATGCTTACATTGTCTCCAGCACTAGTCATATTACGATTCCTTACAACAGTATCAATACAGTCTTTCAACACTAACGACTCAACCATTCCACTGTCCTCTGATTCAAGTAAGTGCTTACTGTTCATGAAAGTACTAATATAGTCAAAGCAGCTGTCCTGGTCTTCCTCTTCGAATTCTCGTCGGTCTGGACTCGGAACTGAACCCACGTTATTGGCAATGTGGAGGGGCTCTTCAGCTGACAGAGTGAACAGACTCTTCTTAATGTCCCACACAAGTCTCCTTTCACTCATAGCCATGGCAACAGCAACTCTTTGTTTTCCATACGGTGAGTAACGACTGGTGAAGACTTGACCTCCGCCTCAGCTCACAGTTCCCTCTTATGGCGTCAACTAACCTGGTGGTCCCAGATATCATCAGTTGATCAGCACCAGCTCAGCAGATGGCGCCGATCCCGGACGAGCCCCAAGATTTGTAACGGGTCCCAGGAGTGGTAACTGCCGTCACAAGTAGGTTACCTGTATAAAGCAGGCGAAAGCAGAGTACTGAAGACAGGATGCCTCTCGTTTCCTTCCAGTTTACGTCTCTTTTATTTTACAAACTCATGAAATTATAGTCACACGGTTCATTTCTGTTACTCCATTTCAGTTCCTTATAATTTCACTCCAAACATACAACTTACTTCATCCCTCAAGTTGCTTCTCACAGCATTCTAGTCAGAACGTATATTTCATTTTAGGTGACAACACAGTTCTACTGTTGATTACTTTAAACTATCACTCTCTGCAAATAGTTCATATTGAGGTTCTCTTTTACAGTGTATCACTGAATTCAATCATAGCGTGCTATCTGCAATCATTTATTACCAATCAACCATGCTCTGTGTAAAACAGACTACTGGAATAAATTGATAAAATGTCCATGTGTTATATGATCTTACAAACATCAAAACAGGAAATTATTAACCGGGTTAAACGTTCAAACTTTGCCACTCAGTTAAACTATTCTTATAAAACACACTCTTTTTTTGTGACTGTCTGTAATACAGTAGAAAAAGTTCGCCAAATACAATCATACTCCTTTTTAATAGCGCTGAGACTCCCATTTCAACATAATAGTGGACACACAAACCTTTGTCACGGTAACAGCCGTTTGTTTAGTTTACCGGCCATTTGACCTAAAATGGCTGCCACGAGTGAAACCGTTACATATTAAACAGTTTTTTTTGTTCAATTTAACTAAAGCATAACAACGTGGCACTGACATGTATATAGATTACTACCAGCTTAACAAAACAACACATTTTCTGACCTGTATAAAGCAGGCAAAAGCAAGAGTACTGAAGACAGGATGCCTCTCGTTTCCTTCCAGTTCATGTCTGAGGAAACGTCATGCACAGGCATCCCTTTATCAGTCCCCGGAACAACAAATCCATAAAAAAAGGTTCCGCTCTGACTTAATGTGTCCATATAATTTTATTTGTCTTTTAAACGCTTCATATTGAGGTTCTCTTTTACAGTGTATCACTGAATTCAATCATAGCGTGCTATCTGCAATCATTTATTACCAATCAACCATGCTCTGTGTAAAACAGACTACTGGAATAACTGGAATGTGATTTAACCAAAGATTTGTGAAGATTTACTCTCTAACCTGTGTTACAAGACCAAAAAAAGCAGACATTTACTGCAGTTATTTTAATAACCAAAAGAGTTTTTGATGTTCTTCATGAAATTCTTGTGTTTTAAATTCAATTTCTCTACAAGTAAGTTTAGATACTACACATTCATCTTACTTTCTTTTGGGGGGTACTATAAATAAAATTATATATATATATATATATATATATATATATATATATATATATATATATATATATATATATATATATATATATAATCAAGATTTAAATGTGGCAATCCATTTCATAGGTGCTACATTTATTATTAATATTGATACATAAGATATGTGTTGTTGAACGTTTTGATTAGGAAACAAACACATTTTTTTCACAAACACTGACTCTGTAATAGCCAAATTACACACAAGCAAGTACATTTAAAATCAGTGGCATTCGTTACTTATTATGTCAAAATATATTTTTCTTTTTATTCCTTAAAATATGTATAGAATCAGCTTTAAAAATTTTAATCTTTAAGTATTTTGAATATTTTAGGTATTTCTGTTTTAAATGTTCTTGCTGTTTGCTCTTTATTCTTATGTTTTCCTCCTGTTTTACTCTTGTAATGAATGCCATTGCTGATGTGACACCAAAATGTCCTCACTGAGGGACAATAAAGGTATTTTCTATTCTATCTTTAGCCTTTTGAGTTTCTTTTTCACTGGGCTAAATCATTTTTCAGAGGCCAACAATAAAAACCAAAACGATTCGATTTGTGGAACGAATTGAGTGGAACGATTTGTTCCACTCTAGTTCACTCAGATGCTCACTGGTTCAAGCCAGATAGCTCCACCTGTGGGGTTAAGCTCTGAGCTGAGGAAGGTGTTCATCATTGAGATGACTTCTGTGTTGTTTTGTTCATCTTCATCAAAAAGAACAGTTGCTCACATAGGTATGTGCTGCTGAACATGGAGCACATTCAAGAAGCTATAGGGCATGGACTTGGGTCAGTGAGTCAGGGAGGAACGATTAAAATTGCAGCAGCCACAGACTCGTACTCTGACTTGAGCGTGTGACTACACCGGGGTTTAGTCAGCTCCATCTGGAGGTTGGTTGATGCACTTTCCACATCAGCTGCAAACAGATTACTGAGCTGTTGGAATCTCTATTTCTGCTTGAAGTCTGCAAATTGCCGGGTAATCTCAGCACTGAGTAGAGGAATATTTTCCAATTGTCTCAGAAAGAGGAGGTTATGGCTGCAGACTCAGGGACTGGTAGCATGCACGCTAATGACTCTTAACAGAAAGGATTTTTTATAGGTATATATTAATGATCGTTTTGTTTCTTTCTTCTTTCTTTCTAGTATTTGTGGCAAATGTGAATGTGTGTGTGACGGGATGAATAGTTCACTGTAGTGTAGTGTTTTGGAGTCCTCTATCTCTGAAAGGCCAGGTCATTTGTCACATCTCGCTGATGTCTATCTCAAATATTAGTTTCACCTTTGAAGTTGAATTACTGAAATAAATTATATTTAAATTTTTCGAGTTTCATCTGAACACGTTTTCTCCATGAGAGAGATCTTTAACTAAAAAAGTGATGTTTTTATTTCAGATGTTGAAATGATCTGATTGCATTGAAATGAATCAATGAAAGAGACCAAAGCTTGAATTTTCTTTTTCCAACAGGAGGCTGCGATGTGCCAGAAACTTCATCCACATACAACTCTTTCTGACTTTCATCTTAAAATCTGTGGCAGTGTTCATAAAGGATGCTACTCTGTTCTCGAGTGATGACACCAACCACTGCACCCTCTCCACAGTAAGATAATAAGACTTATGATGAATGATTTTGGGCAGATCTAATTTATGCTCCATATAATCACTTCTTCTGCATCGCTGTTTCTCTCTTTTCCTTTTTTCTTATCTGACCAGTTTGCCTGTAAGGCTTCTGTGGTCTTCTGTCACTACTGTGTGATGGCTAATTTCTTCTGGCTCCTGGTGGAGGCGCTATACCTCAACTCCCTTCTGCTCTCCTCCTTCTATAGCCGTCGATTTCTCTGGGGCTTCAGCTTACTGGGATGGGGTAAGATGCTTGAGGTGTGACTTAATGAGCTGAAAAGTGTGATTTAACCAAAGATTTGTGAAGATTTACTCTCTAACCTGTGTTACAAGACCAAAAAAAGCAGACATTTACTGCAGTTATTTTAATAACCAAAAGAGTTTTTGATGTTCTTCATGAAATTCTTGTGTTTTAAATTCAATTTCTCTACAAGTAAGTTTAGATACTACACATTCATCTTACTATCTTTTGGGGGGTACACTTACTGGAACTTTTTCTTTTCTTGTCATTCTGATTTGAAACATAATGTTTTAATTAGAAGGTTTGTGATTTATTTTTTCATTTGGTTTTAACAGTTTTACAGTTGAGACTCAGAGATTCTGGATATCATATTTAAAATTATTATTGAAATATTAGAAATTATGATAATAAATTAATTAATAATGGTGTTATGCATCAAATTTAACATTTCATTAGACCACCTTTAGCTTTGATAATGGCACCCATTTGCTGTGTCATTGTTTCAGTAGATTTCTGCAATGTCACAAGTTTTATTTCCATCTGACATTAGGCTCTCACTAACAAGAGATTATGGAAACAGGACTACTGTATTTATCTACATATCACCTTACTGTGTATGACTTATCTCCACTTGTCATCTAGAATCTTCTGGCGCGGATTGTAACCTGCAACAGCCATACAACTCTTAAACAGGAATGGGAGAGTCACTATTTGTTTAATAAATGAACTGCAGTAACCCCATTTGACCACAGGAGGACATTCTTACTTCATTCTTACATATTGCACCTTTAAATTTTTAGTTCCCTTCAGCTGGTTCTTCTGGCAGCTGTTAACTCTCCAATTTGCTTAATTAAAATCAGATTAATAACAAACAAAAGCAGACTAAAGAACCAAATATTCAGTTTAAATGAAGTGGAATTAATGTGATGTTAGAAACTGTTTACAAGAAAGTTTACGAAAACTCGTCGTCGTCTTCCTTCACTTATCTGGGTCCGGGTTGCGGGGGCAGCATCCCAACTAGGGAGGTCCAGACCGTCCTCTCCCCGGCCACCTCCACCAGTTCCTCCGGCAGGACCCCAAGGAGTTCCCGGACCAGATTGGAGATGTAACCTCTCCAACGTATCCTGGGTCGACCCGGGGGCCTCCTGCCGGCAGGACATGCCCGAAACACCTCCCCAGGGAGGCGTCCAGGAGGCATCCTGACCAGATGCCCAAACCACCTCAACTGACTCCTTTCGATCCGGAGGAGCAGCGGTTCTACTCCGAGTCCCTCCCGAATGTCCGAGCTCCTCACCCTATCTCCAAGGCTAAGCTCGGCCACCCTACAGAGGAAACTCATTTCGGCCGCTTGTATCCGCAATCTCGTTCTTTCGGTCATTACCCAAAGCTCATGACCATAGATGAGGATTGGGACGTAGACCGACCGGTAACTCAAGAGCCTGGCTTTCTGACTCAGCTCCCTCTTCACCACAACAGATCGGCTCAGCGTCTGCATCACTGCAGATGCTGAACCAATCCGCCTGTCAATCTCTCGATCCCTTCTACCCTCACTCGTGAACAAGACCCTGAGATACTTAAACTCCTCCACTTGAGGTAGGACCTCTCTCCCGACCCGGAGTTGGCAAGCCACCCTTTCCTGGTCGAGAACCATGGTCTCAGATTTGGAGGTGCTGATCCTCATCCCAGCCGCTTCACAGTCGGCCGCTAACCTACCCAGCAAGAGCTGAAGGTCAGAGCTGGATGAAGCTAGGAGGACCACATCATCCGCAAAAAGCAGAAACGAGATTCTCCTGCCACCAAACTCGACACACTCCACACCACGGCTGCGCCTAGAAATCCTGTCTATAAAGATTATGAACAGAACCGGTGACAAAGGGCAGCCCTGGCGGAGTCCAACCCTCACCGGGAACAGGTCCGACTTACTACCGGCTATGCGGACCAAACTCACACTCCTCTGGTAAAGGGACTGAATGGCCCTTAACAAAAGGCCACCCACCCCATACTCCTGGAGCGTCCCCCACAGGGTGCCCCTGGGGACACGGTCATAAGCTTTCTCCAAATCCACAAAACACATGTGGATTGGTTGGACAAACTCCCATGCCCCCTCCATCACCCTTGCAAGGGTATAGAGCTGGTCCACAGTTCCACGGCCAGGACGAAAATCACATTGCTCCTCCTCTATCTGAGATTCAACTATCGATCGGTACCCATCTGCTGCCTCCGGAGACCCTCACGAAAACTACGAAAACTCCCAAATAATAAATCTTCTCTCATTCGTCTCTCCAGAGATCTGCGTCGACGTTGTACTAGAACATTAGGCCAACAGAGTCTCACACTTGTTAGGCTCTAATTATGATATCAGTATGTCTTGATTAGATCTCGCTGACATTAATTTAGCTTTCCTCCCTCTCCACAGGTGTGCCTGTTTTCTTTATAGTTCTGTGGATTGGATCCAGGGTGTACTTCGAGGACACAGAGTTTGTATAAACTTTCAGAACACCTTCAGCTCACACGGTTGCAGATGCTGATATTTATCACTTAACCTTTAATGTTTGATTAATTTGATTTATCTGTTTAACTCTAAAATGGATGGCTGTATTTTCACTGAAGCTGATTTTATGATGTTGAAGAAAACTTGTGCAGAAAAATTATGTCTTCCTTTGCAGATGTTGGGACATTAATGAGGACTCACCCTATTGGTGGATCATCAAGGGACCGATCGTTGTCTCTATAGCGGTAACTATTCTCATCAGAGACATTTGAATTGGGCAAAAGGCTTTTTGTTATCCGAACTGAATGTAAAATAACTCATCTCAGACTGGTCTAAGTCAATTACACACCCAGCTGCACACAGCGTCGCCATGACACTTAGTAATCACGTCGGCATTAATGTTTTCTGCTGCCTGTCACAACATTAATGCAGCTTTTGTTTTGTGTCTCCAGGTTAATTTTATGCTCTTTGTGAACATCATCCGAATCCTGATGCAGAAGCTCAATCCTCGTTTGATCCAGTTCAATAACTCCTCTCAGTACAGGTACAGCGATTCATAGTCTCTCTCTCTCTTTCACCCCCCCCCCCCCCACCCCCCCCACCCCCCACACACACACACACACACAGGCTCTTTTCTGTTTACCTAAATTGTCAACCGTCAGATAAAGAGGTTTCAAACAGAATTTCCATTTGTGTGCAGCCTTTATGTTCATGCTTGTTTTGAAATCAGATTTAGATTCCTTTTTTCCAGACAAGGTCTTAGATTTTTCAAAGTCTCATCTGAATGACTCATTTTTGTTGAACTCTTAAGCGTTTCCAGCTTAATGAGTGACACTTTTTATAATACTTTTTAACGCTGGGTCGACGCTTTGATGTTGAAAGATGCAGGAAGTGTAAAAACTGTTGATACACCTCAGCGTGCTTTGAATTATTCATTCAGACGACACCGAACAACAGCCTACTCAGTCTGGCCACGTCTTTTTTTCTCTCGTCAAGAGGCTTATCACAATTTCTAATTGAAATAGGCTTGCTAATAGATTGAAAGTACTCCTGCACATCAAGTATTCTAGACCTCATAAAAGACATATCTAGGTGAGTTAGGAGAGGCTTGCCTTAATTGCACCAGGTAGCTTAATACAGCGTTTCCATAAGTGTCCTTATGACTGACATCTCATCATCGGTACGCCCGCTTGCATTAGACGATCAGCAGCAGCATTCAGATGAGGCAGGCACTAACCGACTCCCTCAGGTAACTTCACCTCCTGCATCTGATTTCTTTGCTTCTGTGTGACAGACGCCTGGCCAAGTCCACCCTTCTCCTAATTCCTTTGTTTGGAACCCACTACATGTTCTTCAATTTTCTGCCTGACTACTTCAACATAAGCCTGCGCCTCTGCATTGAGCTCTGCATGGGATCCTTTCAGGTGCAAAAACATAAACATTGTAACCCAATCTGCTAATAAACAACCACTATAGCTTTTTTTTTTGTCCGTGGGCACAATATAGGAATCACTTCATGGATTTAGCTTGAAAAGCTCACGTTTTTGTGTCACACGCATGAATGTACTTTAACACAGAAAACAAGAGTATTTTTTTTTGTCTCAGAGGCATCAGCGCCTTGGGCTTCCTGACAGGGTTGTGGAAGGCGCTTTATAAATAAAGCTTTGATTTGATTGATTGATTTGATCCCCTAGAGGTGGATAAATGTACTGCACCTTCAAACTGCTATCCCTGCTTCCATAAGACATCTGGAAGCAATGTCCATCCATCCATTTACTTCCACTTATCCGGAGTCGGGTTGCGGGGGCAATAGCCTAAACAGAGATGCCCAGACTTCCCTCTCCCCAGCCTCTAGGCCAGCTTCTACGGGGATTCCCAAGGCATTCCCTGGCCAGTTGAGAGACATAGTCCCTCCAGCGAGTCCTGGATATTCCTTTGGGTCTCCTCCTAGTTAGACGTGCCTGGAAATTCTCACCAGGGAGGTGTCCAGGAGGCATCCTAGCTAGATGCCTGAGCTACCTCAACTGGCTCCTCTCAATGGAAGCAACACATATCATTCTTATACGTGCACCTCTACAATTCCAGTTACTATTCTCACATTGTGCTTTTAATTCATATGTGTCTATTTTGAAGACCTAATTATATATAAGATATTTTGCCAACTCTGCACTTGTTCAACGTCCGAGTTGAACATGGAGATCCTTCTACAGTTGAAAAGCAGGTGCAAGGTGACTTCTTTGTCAGTATTTGAGATGCTGTTCATCAAGTTTAGTCCGTGGGCTTTTCTTTACTTTGTCTTTGAGCAGAAGTAGGTTGTTGTGGAATCTGTGTTTTTTGTGGCTGTGAAGGCGTTGTAGCTGTTCCATGATTCACTGTTATTTTGCATATTTGTAAACAGCCCGAAAACTCTGCTAAGTCTAGTTACTTACGTGAGCGCACACTTTGTGTTTGATATTTGTATGTAAGTGAATGTCTAACGCTATTGGCTAATGCTGAGCTATGCACAGTTCACATTGCATGGGACCAAAAAAAAATTTAAAAATAAACTTGAATTATTGCCTACATGACATCACACAACAGTTGTGGATTTTTTTTAAGTGAAACATAAATCCTGAAAAGGGTACAACTCCAGATTTCTGCTTTTAACTTTGCTACATGTAAATGTGCACAGTTGTTTGTAGTTTTTGGAACATAAAGTGTTCCAGTGCAAATTATGGCCAGAAAAAAAATCATATTTATCTCAGTTTTTTGTCATTTTTGCAAAATAAGTCCATTAAATTAAACATTAATTAAAAAGAAAATCTCTGTTGCAGGGTCTTGTTGTTGCAGTCCTCTACTGCTTTCTCAATCAAGAGGTCAGTGCAAATCATGCTATTCTCATGCATCACCTGTTCCCCCAAACTCCCAGGTTTCTAATTATTACAGCTCTCTGCTGCATAAAGACTTTCTCAGAAGGATGATGTGTCAGTAAGAGGTGAGAGGTGTTAAGTTGTCACGTCTTAAAGAACAGAAACACATTTCCATTTTCTTTCCCCCATCGTTGCATAAAAAAGAAACCGGGTGCTCTTTGATAATCATTGAGATTAATGCAAGGTCAAAGTCTGAAGGCAACAGCTGTCTGTGTTTAAGTCTTCTGCTTCAAACCCATGTCAGCATGGAAAGCCACAAGGATGAAGCTCGAGATCATGAATTTCCATTTGGTTTACTGCTCTGAACTTTTGGTTTCTAATGTTCCTGTTTTGCTCCATTCTGTTTACCTTTTTATGAACTTTATAAATATGTCTTAGGTGTGTTCTTGCGGTGTCGTATTTCTAATTCCATGCTGTAGTTCTTTTTTAAAACACAGAACAGTTTTGTTACGTGTTTTCCCGCTACGTTTCGTTTGCGGCTGCAAACTTCCTCAGGCTGACGCTGATGGTGGCGTCACTTCCTTCTCCGTTTATACGCAGGCAGCAGAGGACGTTGTCGCCCTCTGCTGCCTGCTCTCCCCTCTCCGACGATGCAGTCTCATGCGCGGTCCAACGTGTAAACTCCATCGTCCCTGTTCATGGTCCCACATCCACGTCTCCTTATCTCCATAGCTTCTTTTATCCATCTTTGGTATTTTTGTTGTTCGGTGATGACACAGGCCGCATAAAGTTCACTTATGAGTCAGAAACAGAAGGCAGTATAGCATTTATGGATATGAAAATCACCAGGCAGACCGACGGGACCCTAAACATAAACACATATAGGAAACCAACACACACAGACCAATACTTATAATGGACATCACCGAGCAAACATGATAACAGAAGAAAGAGACCGTAAACAAGAGGACAAACACATACAACACGCTTTAAACACCTGCAGATACCCGACATGGGCAATAAACAAAGGAAAACAACAAACAACAACAGAAAGAAAAGAACAACCAAAGCAAAGAACCAGAAACCCAGAAAGGCAAGAACCAAAACCAGTGATAACCCTACCATACATCAGAGGCATAACAGAAAAAATAAGAGCAACAATGAAAAAACACAACATAAACACACCAACAAAGCCATACACAACAGTTAGAAACAGACTAGTACACCCAAAAGTCAAGATACCAGCTGGACTTAAATGTGGAATCGTTTACAAAATCCCATGCAAACTCTGCAATAAAACCTACATAGGAGAAACCGGACGCCAACTCAACACACAAACAATAGAACATAGAAAGGAGTGCGAGAAAGAGGCAAGTCGAAGACACACAAGAGCAGCAAAAGAAGAAGCAGAAAGTACAATAAAGAAGTCAGCCGTAACAGATCACTGCACAAGAGAAAACCATGTAATGGACTGGGACAACCCAAGGATCATAAACACCGAACAACAGAAATACAAAAGATGGATAAAGGAAGCTATCGAGATAAGGAGACGTGGATGTGGGACCATGAACAGAGACGATGGGGTTTACACGTTGGATCACGCATGGGACTGCATCGTCGGAGAGGGGAGAGCGGGCAGCAGAGGGCGACAACATCCTCTGCTGCCCGCGTACAAACGGAGAAGGAAGTGACGCCACCATCAGCGTCAGCCTGGGGAAGTTTGCAGCTGCAAACGAAATGTAGTGGGAAAACAGGTAACGAAACTGTTCTGTGTTTTAAAAAAGAACTACAGGATGGGATTTATAAATATGTGCTTTTTTTTGGACGACCACTTTCACCTTTTCTTGGCAGACACTATTCCACACATCTTTAGATCACACTTACTCTGAAAAAGCTGCTTCTGTCCTTTTTAATCACTTTTTTCTCTTGTGTGTGTGTGTGTGTGTGTGTGTGTGTGTGTGTGTGTGTGTGAGTGTGTGTGTGTGTGTGTGTGTGTGTGTTTGTGTGTGTGTGTGTGTGTGTGTGTGTGTGTGAGACAGGTGCAGAAGGAGGTCCACATGCAGTGGTTAAGGTGGCAGGAGAGGAGCTATGGGGTGGTTTCCCCTGCTGCAAAGGGCAGCCAGATGGACACACCTTTCTGACGTCTCCTTGTAGGACCGTCTTTTACCTGTCAGGATTTCTTCCTGCTCATGTTGTGTCTATCTAATGAGTTGTGGGGCACACGGTGTTATCGTTGGTGTTGTCGTTCATGCATCATTGAAGCCTGGGAGTGCATAACTTGTGTGGCAGACTTCTTCATTGATTACACTCCCTCTGCAGCCAGACAGGAAGAAGGGAGGTGAACTTTCCACAGGAGAGCGATTGTGAAATCCTTTGACATTTTGCACACATTCACAACCTACCTTGACAACTCCTGCCAGTTCTCATGAGCATCTTCCGAACTGCACAGTGACCACCACAAAAATAAATAAATGAATGGAGTTATTTTTCTCTCTCTCAGAGGAATCACCTGTTAAATTATTATCATTTAAATTCTGCTGAGCCAGAACCATAGCTGGATAATTATAGAGCTGTCATTAAAAGAGGAAAATGTTAATTGTGTATTTATTTTAATCAAGAAAAACAACCAGGAACACATTTGCATTTTAATGTACTCGTGTTCAGCATTTTTAAGGGTTGTTTGCATTCTCCAGCAATGCCTAGCTTGTTGACATGTTATATTCTAGATTTAGCTTTTGTCAAGTGACGCACAAGGACAAATGATCGTGATGAATTTTGTGCTGTTTATTGGTTTTGTTTCCTGGGTCGCATCTCTGCTTTACATGTTCAACACGTATGCACACGTTTGTGCTTTCTGTGGTCTTTTTCACTGATTTATCCGATAATTTATTCGGCTTCTCTTAATGAAAACTTGCTAAATCTTGAGGCCAGATTCATTGCAGGGTTCTAGTATTTCTAGTTATCTGCTGCCAAATGCTTTTTCTGTCTTGCGCTAATAAATCTTTATCAGTATTCACTGTACTGAGTTGGCTTTTTGAATGCATGGTGACATTTGTTTATTTGTGCAGTTCAACCCTGCAGCATTTACGCTTTTTAGTTAGTCAATATACTCATTTATAACCTTAGACTGAGTGTAGGCGCTATAACAGACACATGTTTTGTACTTCCTCTACTTGATTACCCTTTCTGTTTATCTGAACATATTGACTCGGTGAGATAAAGAGGTTCCGTAGCTCCAGGCAGAAACATTTGTTCATGAGGCAGCTAATGATGTGAGAATACCCTAAAACATATTTGAAAAATACCGGTAAAAGCTAATGTTGTGACGTCATTCAGCTACAAGTAGTTTATGTCATTCTCAGTCAATGAAAAGATTGAAACAGTCATTTGAAATGTATTGTTTGCTTCACTGGATGAGCTTAATAAACGTTCTTTTTTTAAAGCAGTGGACTAAAGTTGGTCAGTTTGTGTGTTTGAGGAGGAAACAAGGAGGAGACAGCAAGACAAGTTCATTCTTCAGGTTTATTATCATCAGAGGGGCAAAAGTTAAAAGAAACAACATTAGTCTTTTTAATTAAAATTACCCCAGAATCAATTAAATTCCTGTTATTGAAGGGAAAGAAGAAGAATCTATCTTCATATAGCACCTCAAGACAAAAATCACAAGGTGTTTCAGAAAAAAACAATTAAAACCTGATTAAAAATCTAAAAGTGAGAAAAGAAAAAAAACTTGTGATAAAAATGTAAGGAAAGAGAAAATGATCAGACTACTTATTCACTGGCTCCTTTATCGTTGCTTTCTCACTTTTCCTCCAAATTAATTCTATGCAGAGGAAACATCTCATCTCGTTTCGTCTTCCTCTGCCTATCAGGGTTGCGGGGGCAGCATTCCAACTAGGGACTGTCCTCCCCCCGGCCACCTCCACCAGCTCCTCCAGTAGGACCCCAAGGCGTTCCTGGGCCAGTTCGGAGATGTACTTTCTCCAACATGTCCTGGGTCGACCTGGAGGCCTTCTGCCAGCAGGACTTGCCTGACACCTCCCTGGGGAGACGTCCAGGAGGCATCCTAACAAGATGCCCAAACCACCTCAACTTACTCCTCTTGATATGGAGGAGCAGCGGCTCTACTCGGGGTCTCTCCCGAATGACCGAGCTCCCCACTCTATCTCTTAGGCTGACTCAGCCACCCAGCAGAGAAAACTCATTTCAGCCACTTGTATCTGTGATCTTGTTCTATTGGTCATTACCCAAAGCTCATGACCATAGGTGAGGACTGGGCGGTAGATCGAAACATGAAACATATTTTCTGCAGGAAAAAAAGTCCCGAAAGGATGGCTTGTTTACTGCTGTCTGACACATCAGATGAATGTTAATGCTCAGGGGTCTCATTTATCAAATATTGCGTAGAATCCTTACTAAAACCGTACTTAAGCTCAGCAAAAAAAAAAGTACTTACACCAAGTAGGTTTGTGATCTATCAAACGTCGAGTACACACAGCTGCATGCAGTCTCCACTTCATAAATCGGAGACTAACGAGAATGTTTCTCAGCTGCATTTTAGTCACATCCCGCCCTCACCACGCCCACTTACTGCCATAAATACTCAGTGCAAAGTGCCTTGTGGATCTCATACATATACATAAGCCAGCTGTTGCAGCGCTCCGCCAATGACATGGCGACCGTAGATCAAGGTAGATCAAGGAAGTGCAATTTCACAGAAGCAGAAATTGAGGTACCTGTGGGTGAGGTGGAGAAATGAAAGGAAGTGCTTTTGCAAAACAAATAAGAGAAAATCCACGAAGTGGCTCGGCGTTGCTGAAGCCGTCAATGTTGTGAATTCTTCAGAGAGATCTGTGGCGTATATAAAAAATGGTCCAATTGGGATTCAATCCCCAGACTCCCAGGTGAAAGTCACGCACGCTAACCAGTCACCCAAACGGAGATCTCCCCTGTACGAGTAGCCAGGACACATGATCAATTGGGTCACAGTGACAGGACACACTGTCACAGACACATGACATTCTGTCTCAATCTGTCCCCCTGTCCGTATTCTGCACTTCAGGCTGTGTGTGCGTGCGTGCGTGCGTGTGTGCGCATGTGTGTGTGCATGTGGGGAGTCTTGTTCTGTGTGAAAACGAAGGTGTACAAGTGATAATGCTGCAGGGTTTCATAATTTTATCCTTCTCAGCAGCAGCACTGCAGGTGCTCTCCATGTCCAACATGTGCGTAAGCCAGGTCCTTAGTCAACTTAAAGTTGCGCACATTTTTCCGCTAAGTTTTCTTTCATAAATTCCAAAGTTTGCATGGAAAGTTGCTTACACAGTATTCCGACCTCGTTTTGTGCGCAAGCAAGCTTGATAAATGAGGCCCCAGCTCTCTCTCAGTCAGATAAGATACATTTACACAAGAACCTTGTAGGAGGTCTTTATTAGTTTGGCACCAGCTTTGTTTGAAAGCTTCAGGATAAAAATAATTGGAATCAAACTAGTCTGCTTGTCATTCTTAAAGCTAAGTGGCTGCAACTTATTATAAAAATATGTTGTTCCTAGCTTGGTCTTTCAGGATTGCAGACTTGATCTTGCAAATTCTGCTGACCTAGGACAATGATTTAAAATGATCAGTTTTATTTTATTTATGTCAGAATTATAACCTACCCAGAAAAGAAGATGCATCTCTGTTTTGTTGTTTGACTCCTATGGAGGAGGGACATTGCTTTGGAAACCTCCCCACAGGGCTTTTCTTGTTTCCTCTTTAGAGCTGGTGTGGGATTTGTGGAATGGGAAGTTCAGAGCTCCGAGACAGGATGTGGAGTCATTTTAGGATTGTCCAGCCCCCCCACACACACTGACAGGCACACAAAACTGGAGTCCAGCTGCAGAAGTCCACATCTGAACAGAACAGCATCTGGATCGAGTTTCGGCACCCGAAAAGTCTTCATTCTCTCTCTGGTGATCCCTAAAGTGTGACTGAACATCTACCGGGTAAGTCGGTGAGGACAAGGACACAACCTTAGCTTCTAAAAACTTTTATTGTTGCCATATTTATGTTTATTTTAATGCTATTGTCCAAAAATAAAACTATTCCACACAAAAATCACAACTTTTAGTAGCTTTGAGTCCAGCATCTTTGGAGGAATACGTTTCTTTTGTTCAGCTCTGACAGCTGGGGGCTTGATGTTAATGACAGGGTGCGTTTGCCTGCCTGGACATGCAGCAAGCAGGCTGCTTTCACACAAACTCAAACCTCTCCGCATAAGCTGTTGAATGCAATGCATTTTTAAAGGTTCTGATTAGCAGATGGTTGACTAACTTCTCTCCTTCCTGCTCTGTCCATGCAGATTCAGGTGATGTCTCACCTCTGGACCCATATATCAGCCTTGCTACTGCTGCTGTCAGTGGCTGAAAGTCTGAGCAGCCATGAAGGAAATGACAATGAAGTTATCAAACACACAGAGGCAGAGATCAGCAGGAGACAGGCAAGACAGGTACAAGAGTTGGAGGTTTATTGTTTTTCTTTCCTTGGATTTCAAGTGACCTCTTTAGGCACGATTATCTCTCATCTTGTTTGTTTTAGAAACTGGAGATTGAGAATGCCATCAGAAACGTCAGCGAAGCAACACCGAGCAACGCGCCTACTACATGTGTGTGTTTTCCAGTTTTGTCTTAATACACACTATTCGTATGGTTTCCCCTAACTGTTTTTCTTTTACCAAAGCACCAACCACAGTCTCCCCAACCTCCACCCTTGCTGCTTGGTGTCCAGGTAACCAGATGATGCAGGAGGCCGGAGCCAGCTGTGGCTGCCCACCTGGAATGGTGCAGATTGGTGACAACTGCACCTGCCCTGTTGGATTCGCCCTGCAGGGAGGAGCGGAGTGTAAAGGTGAGACTTGCATCAGGTGAGGACTTGAGTCGATGGTGTTAAAAAGTTTAAGGGGAAGCAGCTGTTTCAGATTTCAAATGTACTCCACTTTCTGTCCATTAATGCTTTTGACATCTGGTTGTGCTATATGTCATCATGCATCATGTTATCATCTATCTGCCTTCACCAGATGTTGATGAGTGTGAAGTGGAGGGGCTGGGGCCATGTGGTCCCCATGCCAGCTGCAAAAATAGCCACGGCTCATACTCGTGCGCCTGTCTCCGTGGCTTCCTAATGGGTTCTGGAGGCTGCCAGGGTTCGTCAGCCTCCGTGTGTGTGTGTGTGTGTGTGTGTGTGTGTGTGTGTGTGTGTGTGTGTGTGTGTGTGTGTGTGTCTTTGTGAAAAGCACAGTTCCAGATATTTTTATGTACATCATGGTTGTAATGTGTGTGTACCTTTCTGGTTTTACAGATGTAGATGAATGTGCTCTGGCTGCAGTGACGGGTCTGCAGGCCTGTCACGATGGAGCTGAATGCACAAACACCCTCGGCTCTTTTACCTGCTTGTGTGCTGTTGGATATGTGAAGGCGGTAAATGGGAAAGGCTGTGTAGGTAAAATGGATTGTGCCTTCTGCCATGCACATCTGTGGCATTATGTACAAAACAAAAGCTTCTTTTGTTCAAACGTGAAAAAGCCGTGCACTTACATTGGATTAAACCTGAATAAAGGTGACGACTAAACATTTCATTGCTGCAAAGCCTGTTTGATTATCAAATATGACCAACCAGAATGTGGCCTTTTTTATGTCTAGTCCTCTACGTATTTTTCACACAAACACATCGTTTGAAAATAAGCACTTTCTTGGCATCAAAATGTGTCTTTAAAATTCACAGACATCATATGTGAAATCCAAATGGGATCAGAAAATAACTTTCATCAGCTAAAAGACTCCCATTCATCTTTGTGGCAGTAGGGGACCCATGGTCCAGGGCTTCCTATAACGTGGTCAAAATCTGCAAAAAGTGAAATCATCCTTTTAAAACTGCATTTCGGAGATATTGGTCTGATTTTAAAATAACAGGAGAAATCTGTAGGAGAGTGAAGTGATTTTCACTCATGTGTTAGAATGATTGAGAAAAAAAAGAAAAAAATACATTTTAAAGAACTAGATTCATCCTTCATTTACGTGTGACCAAAAACACCAGAAGAAATCTACTAGGGGGTCATTTTATCCCTCAACACTGCATTAAAATGCAAATTGCATCAGCAGCAGATGAAAGATAAAGTCAGTACCTCCTTCTCTTTCTCTGTCCCAGATGTGGACGAATGTATGGAGTGCCCAGAGTTGTGCGCCGGTCAGGGTGTGTGTGAGAACACGCTTGGGAGCTACAAGTGTATTTGTCAACCTGGTTACCGGGGAAACGGAACACACTGTAAAGTTAAGCAATCAGTGCTGACGTCTCTCTGTTTCCCACAGACAGGGTCAGCTTACTTGAGTGTGTGCATTTTAATGCCTGCTATTAAGCCTTCCATTAAAGTGCTCCAGGGTGGCAGATTGTTTATGAAACGAGTTTTAAACTAAGCTTTGTAAAAAGTTAAACTAAACATTCACTGTGCTTTACTTCCTAGATGAGAACGAGTGTGTGTCAGACAGCCACAGGTGTGACACCAATGCTCGGTGTGGCAACACCATCGGATCGTACTTCTGCCAGTGTTACCAGGGCTTTAATGGGGACGGACACACTTGTTTTGGTGGGTAATGGCTATTATGTGGATGTTTTCCTTCAACATCACACAAGCGTTACACACTATCTGAGCTCAGCAGTCCTTCACGGCTGTTCTTGTTTACAGACATCAACGAGTGTCTTGTTAACAACGGCTATTGTGAACACAACTGCACCAATGAGCCAGGAGGGTACAGCTGCCAGTGCGCCTCAGGCTTCCAGCTGGACCAGAGTGGGCGCAACTGCACAGGTGAACTAACACTCCTGATCTATTTGCACCAACCGGAAACATGGGTGAAACTTCTGTTCTTAGGACAAGAGCAGGTCAAATCAAAGTCCTTTAAATCTGGACTGGAGTTCAAGAGATATTTTGAAAACAGGCAGTCAGGTTTATCTCAAACTGGTGAAGGTGTGGAAGTCTGAAAACCCATTTTTAATGACAGTTTAATCGGTCACTGAGTTTTTCATGTAGGCTGAACATGAAAATAGTCTCCTACACCTATCTCATGCGTTAGCTTCTGATAGAAAATAGACGGTGAAACTCTAGGATTAGAAAAGCCTGACAGATCTACGTCACGCTGTCTCTTAACATTCATGGACTCACCCACTCATGACGGGGAAGGCTGTTGTTGGATTAGTATCCAGGAATCAGCAGAGAATGTCCCAACTAATAGAAACTAACTGTTAGCATTAGCAACTTCACCACACAGCAAAAGCTCCTCCAGGCTTGTATTATTTGTAGAGAGAAATCTTTCACATTGCAAGTCGGTGGTTCAGTTATGTTTCTGATATTCAAAAAATACAACCTACTAGAGGCTTCTGCAAATGTTTAAATTAATTTATTATTTATGTTATTCTTTATTTAACCAGGAATGTCCCATTGAGATTTACAAACCTCCTTTTCCTCATGGAGTCCTGGCCAATAGGAAGCAAAAGAGTGTATACATTGAGTAAATGAGTGCCCCACACCTCTAATGCCAATATTACAAAAACTGACTCAGCTGCTGAAGTCATTTTAGTTTTTTCTAAGGTCCGTTGGCTGCGGAACGGCTTTAATAGATGCCTAAATGTTGGAGTAGCTTTCATTTATTAACTGTGGGAGTTCCATTAAAATCCATCCAGCAGATCTTGAGCTTTTTAAAACAAACACACAGATATAAACTTCAGAACCTCAATAGCATAGCAGGGTTGAACAGTCTGCAAAACCTTGCTCAGAATTTAAAAGAACAATAAAAATAATAATGCAGGACACGTGTTTAAGCTTCTTCAGATTCTTAATCCTGCAGAACTTGTCTGCTTTTGCTTCATGTCATCAGCTCAGTGATCTTGTGCCCCAGATCGTCTGCATGTTCATGATACCAGATACTGTGAGATCATTTTGCCTTGTTTTCTGGCAGGGGATTGTTTCTTTTTAAAAACTAGATGTTTTTCTTCATTTGTAAAGAGAATCTATTAGAAGTTGGTTATAAATACAGTTTATATCAAGTTTAAAGCATTAATTAATCATTTTTACATCAATATGGGTTATGAGGCTTGCTGCCACTACACGTTCTGCTCCCCTACATCTTAAAAAATGATCCAACTGTCCTTTTGAGGTGTCTTTTATTCCCTCGTTTTGGCAATATGAGCTTGTTCTTGTGTGAAAAGGCAATTAAAATGCAATGATGTGTTAACTTCAGAGCCAGACATTTTTTCCTTCCTGGTGGCTTTAATCCAGTGCGTTAACAGTCAATAAACATTGCTTTGCAAACTGCAGGGACAGAATGAGCTTTAGGTTATCTCTGCATAGACTCTATTAAACTTAAAGTGGAATAACAAACCAGAGCAGCGACTTGTCCCTGCAGTCTATATCATGGTGCAGTGAGTTTCCATCTCTTTGGCCAAAGTAGCTGACCATATGCAACAGCTTGAGGACAAATTTAAATATGATGATTTCACTCCAAATGGCCGGTCAGCAGAGAGCAGCAGAGCATTCATTTCAGAAGCCACCGCTAGTTTTGTAATGAGCCCAAGTTTGTTTCTGTTTGTAAAGAACTAAATGAAACATGTTATTCCTCCAGAGCCTAAATGAGCTATTTTATGCAGCTGTAACATGAGTGACTTCGATCCCTCCCCCAGATGTGGACGAGTGTTTGGCTCTAAATGGGACTTGCAAGCACATTTGCATCAACACTGCGGGCTCTTTCCGATGCGCCTGCAGGCCGGGCTTCCAGCTGCACATTGATGGGCGCACCTGCGTAGGTCAGTCGCTCTCTGACGCCTTTTCTCCTAATGCAACCGTTTGCATATTTTCAGTCGTTTAAATGGGCTAGGAGTCAGCAATTTACCAGCATGCAAAGGATTCGTGAATATGTCCTCTCAATTTGCTCTGCGTGTTTTTGGGAGTGTGTCTGATTTCTGCTTTCATATAAATGGGGGACATGCAAGCTCACGCAACTGTGGTGCTCACAGGAGAGATGTAAGAGGAAACGTTAAAATGGCTTTTTGTTTTTGTCTTTGTTCATAGATATCAATGAATGCAAACTCCAGAATGGTGGCTGCTCTCATACCTGCTCCAACGCTCCTGGAGGATTCATCTGCCACTGCCCACATCCCCTTCTGTTAGACACAGACAACCTCACCTGCAGGAGTGGGTTCCTCCACACAGAGCTCACACTATTCTTTGTTTCAAAAAGACACATCTATAAATGTCAGGTCACCAAGGAATCACAGGAAATGCTGTGTTTTATTGTTTTATCAGCAAAAATTTTGGATTTATTACATCTTATTTCATGCTCTGAGATTTCACATGGTGGTAGTTGTCACGTTGAGAGGATGGTTTGGACCCAAAATGCAGTAACCCAGGATGACACGAGGCAGGAGTTGGTATAAAGTAAAAATCCTTTATTTAGGAGGAGAACCAAAATCCAAGGGGGCGAAGACAAAAACCCAATAACCAAACTAAGACAAAAAAATCCAAAAGCTCACCTTCTGAGCAGAAAACTACAGACTGAGACTAGAGAATAAAGACTACAGACAGGAGACTAAAGACAAAACAACGCTGACCAAGAAATACAATGGACCGACAACAACACAGAGACAAGACAGGGCTTAAATAGACTGGGAGGAACAATTAGGGAAACAGGAAGCAGGTGTGTGGAGTGAGGGCTGGAGGGAAGACAGGTGACAACAATCATCTAACTGGGGAAGCAGAACCAAAGGAGGGCAGATAAACACAAAACTGAACTAAAAGACTGAGGGAAGGACTCACACACACACAATCACACCCAAATACACTCACACACACTGAATTGGGGAATGGACACGCACACACACACGCACGCACGCACGCACGCACGCACACACACACACACACACACACACACACACACACTGAGTTGGGGACTGGACACGCACACACCCAAACAGACACAGAGCTGGAGACAAAGAGGCTGGAGCTACAACTGGAGGGGATGGGGATGATCGAATGCCTACAAACAGAAAACACACAAATGAGACGCAGACAAAGGACACATGAGGGCGCTATGAGACACAAAAGGGAATCTAGAGAGGGATGGAGGACACCAGGAGGCACATGAAGGAGGAGGCAGACGCAGACCATGACAGTAGTGGGTTTTGATGTTTACTGTCCTCTTAAATATTAGTTATATAAAAAATTAATTTATCAGTTTTTCAGTGATTAATGCCCTGCATGTAGTTATTACCAATCGTCAAATCCAAAACATTTACACGGATGGAAAGTACAACTTAAACATGTCTATTTGATCATTTGGAAGCTGGATTAAAGGAGTTTAGAGATTTTTTTTATTCATAGTTTTTGAAACTAAACTGGAACGATTCAATTCTTTGTCATATGACTTATTTATTAAAGCTGTGGCCTTTCATCTGGTCCAGGATGCAATGATGAACATAGTTGTGATCAAAGTGGCTTGTAATTCATCAGGTAATTATTGTTCAACAGACATCACATCCTGTACGCTGAGGAATGGCGGTTGTGAGCATGTTTGTACCATGACTGCTGAAGGCCAGGTCCAGTGCGGCTGTCAAGCCGGCTGGAAGCTGGGTGGCGACACCCGGAGCTGCGTGGGTGAGTTTCTCTCCAAACAGTGTGACTTCATACTTTTGTGTGTGATTTCATTTTTATTGTCTTAAAATATTTTTACAACATTTTATTAATTTTTTTTCAACTCAGAAACATAACTAACATCTGTCTTTATTTTTATTCTGAATTAGTTTATAAAATTGAAAGCAGCTGAAAACCGTCTCAGCAGCAAATCTATGAAAACAGTTGTGCTGTAACCAAAGTTTTGTGCCGAAGGTTGTTTTGTCGCTACGCCCAGAAGGAAACAAACCGCCTCTAATGTGGAGTGCTTCTCTTGTCTGTCTGTTGAGACGTGAATGAGTGTGGAGACTTCACAAATGGAGGCTGTGAGCAGCTCTGTGTGAACCACCCTGGTGGATTTAACTGTAGCTGTAGAGAGGGATATGAAGTTCAAACGGACGACCCCACAAAGTGTAGGCGTGAGTCACACACCGCACACCTCGCCTCCTCTCTTCAATCATATGAAAAAATTATCCTAATAAAAAATATTATAAGTAACAGTTAATAGTGACAAGTGGAGTTCTCACCCACTTTGTCACACACTGACAAGCAGCACACATTCCCGGTGCTATTCCTGTGATTCTAATATGCTTCTGTTCTTGTCCAGCCGTGTGTGACCCACCATGCCAGAACTACGGGGTGTGTGTGGCTCCAAACAGCTGTGACTGTCCTCCAGGTTACCCTGGTGTGGGCTGCTCAGGTACAACCCACCTGTACACAAATATGAGACAATAAACCACAGTGTGAAGCTTCTATTGGCACAAGTAGTAAAATGCAAATAACCACATTGTTTTTCTTCCTCCATGCATAAACGAATTCATGATGGTTGTGTTACAGCCATGTGCTCTCCCCCTTGTGCCCATGGAGGCACCTGCATGCGTCGGAACATGTGTTTGTGTCCTTCTGGTTGGACAGGAGCAGGCTGCCACACAGGTGTTTGTAAACACTGTACTTAAACACCTCTTACATTATTTAGCTTTATTTATCAGCAACTGATTAATTTTGACAAGTCTTTGTTTCTTTTCCAGCTGTGTGTGAGTTGCCTTGTGCAAACGGTGGTCGTTGCGTGGGCCCTGAAACCTGCCAGTGTCCCTCGGACTACACTGGCTCTCAGTGTCTTACGCGTGAGTGAAATGCATAATTCAATTCAATTCAATTCAAAGGTACTTTATTAATCCCAGAGGGAAATTAGAGTTTCAGTACACACAATTCTGAGATCAGACAGACATACATAGGCAAAGACACATGACAAGAATTGGTGACTGTGGTCATTCGCAACCCGAGTCGCTCTACCTTAATAGAGATCAGAGGGGTTTATATATGAGGATTGAGTCAGGTGGAGGAAAAAAAGGCACTTCAGAGTAACCCTCCACAGGGAGGGCATCTTTGCTATGCAAAAAACACCTCAGACAGAAATGCAACAGACTTCAGACATTACACAACATAAGTGTCCACTAGGTGGAGAGGTAGGGTTTGGGACTCTCCACACATCAGTGCATGCAGCCGCGATGAGCAGCGCTCATCACCTCCGTCTGGACAGGGGTGGGAGGTCGTTGGGTTTAGAGGGCACAGTGACTCCTGGAACGATTCGGCGGCCTTTACAGCTCATAGTTCTGCCCAGGCTGGGATAGACAGAGTTGCCATGGTGACGGCAGCATTCCACATTTCTTCTGAGGGGGAGTATTCGTTTCAGCCTCACAGGCTCAAGGGCACCAGATTCAGATAAGAACTTGTTTTGGGGCCAGACAGAGATAATTTCCTCTCCGTCTTAAAGTTCTGTTGATCCTCAACCTCTCTAAATCCAATAATGATGTAATTAATCTATCCCAATCCGTGCTGGTTCATCCACTCGCTCCTTGATCGCATTCATCTTTTGTGCCAACGCATGAATCTCAGCCAAAGTTGCAAGCTTATGACTCATCTCGACAATTATATGAGTTTGTGCGTTCACAGCGTGCTATAATCCATCCCTGAGCTCCGGGAAAGAGCCAATATTCCTCGACAGCTCATTAATTTTCTGGTAAGTCAGGTAACCTCCCAGGCCAAAAAGCAGGAAACCTGACACCAACACCATGAATATCCAGACGTCTTCAGAATCCTCTACAGACAGTTGAGATAAGCAAATCAGGTTCCACTGTTTCCAGGAGTCCATGATATGCCCAACTGGATCTGTCCCAGAGGGGCACCCGGGAGCCCCTTCTCCCGCTCTCATCGTTGAAAAAAGTTTGTCAATCGCGTTGAGAGACCAACTGACCAGGTCCATTTTTAATCATTTCCAGTTTCCAGTTTTCTAGAAAAAATGCAGAAGTGCCGTACACCCAGAGACCGACAAAGAGCCTTGGGATAAGATAGGAAGGAGAGGAGGAAGAAAGCATCTGTACTCTCCAAGAGCTAGAAGAAGAAGAAAGTTCACAAGTTACACCATATGGTACACCAAAAGCCTGTGAGCCATGCATCCATTATCTATACCCACTCGTCCATGGACTGGTGCCTATCTCCCGCAGTCTTTTAGCAAATAGAAGGGGTACACCCTGGACAGGTTTCCAGTTCATCTCAGTGCAACACAGAAACACGCAGGACAAACAACAAAGCGCGCGCACACACACACACACACACACACACACACACACACACACACACACACACACACACACACACACCTAAGGACAACCTTAGAGAAACCAATCAACCTGCCTTATGGGAAAGTGTGGGGGAGCATGTCCCCCCATCCCCCCAAATAATCACATTTGTGTGTGTGTGTGTGTGTGTGTGTGTGTGTGTGTGTGTGTGTGTGTGTGTGTGTGTGTGTGTGTGTGTGTGTGTGTGTGTGTGTGTGTGTGTGTGTGTGTGTGTGTGTGTGTGTGTGTGTGTGTGTGTGTGCGTGTGTGCGTGTTTTGTAGCTCTGTGCACTCCTGCTTGTCAGAACGGAGGACGATGTGTGGATGTCAACAACTGCATGTGCACTGGAGGGTGGCAAGGAGCTCGGTGTCAGATAGGTGAGACTTTCTTCTCTTTGTTGCTTAATCTGGATTTATCATCTGTCCTATCCATACATTTCATTCAGCTTTCAATTTAGTAACTTCTAAAGTAACACAGATTTTGAAGGATGTAGAACTAAAAACCATTTAAGAAACTAAATTTTACCCCGTCAGTTTATTATGGAGAGAAGTCAGACTCAAAAGAACAGTGAATGTGTAACTTGTGATCTGTGACTTGTGTTGGGATTTGTGTGCTAAACTACCTTAGCAGTTGCTAGACAAGTCCTATTATTCAGTGCGACACATCAGTACATTTTAGGTCACTTTATCTTGATGCATGAACGTTATCGTACATCACTAGGCTGGCCCATCTCTGCATGCACTGCACATTTGAAGATGTTCACAGCCAAATAAAGTGAAGATTGCCAACACCAGAGACGATCTGGCTACTTATCAGGTCCTTTAGTGAATAAATCAAATCATGACTCTGAATACAAGTCACAAAACAAGAGTTAAGCCACGCATGAATCTAGTCTGATTTATCTCCAAAATCATCAAAGTGAATTAAGTTGTGAAAAGCAATTCAGAATGTTTCTTAATTTTTTAATAACATTGTAGAGTATTGGATGTAAAACCCTGAAGGCAGAACTTTTCTCATGTCACCACAAAGCAAACACAATCCATTCACAGGGCAGTTGTTATTGCTGTGCTGTGTGGTGGTAGTTTTTTTCTGGTCACTGGCTCACTGTTGGGTGTACAGATGAAATGTATTGATTCACTATTTGACAGCATTCCTTGTTCTTCTGTCTTTTTCAGAGCCTGTTCAGTGTCAGAAGCCTTGTAGAAATGGCGGCGTGTGTGTGGGCATCAACAGGTGCCGCTGTCCCAAAGGGTTCACCGGCAGCCTCTGTGAAACAGGTTCATCCATCAATATGTGCATTTATGTGTATGGAGCACCGTTATCCTCAGCCGACATAACGACCTTTCCTTTGTGGTGTGTCTGCAGCTGTAATCACCCCTTGTGTCCCACCCTGTCAACACGGAGCCACATGCTGCCCTCACAACACCTGTACCTGTCCAGAGGGCACAGCAGGACTGCGATGTGAACGGCTGTAAGTTAAAGAACAACCAGTGTTTTACATTAAAAGTCAACTTCACTATAAATGAAATAAAATAACACAAACTGCACCCAATACTCAGGACGTGCCCTGTGGTCACCATGGTGGTCAGTGCAGCGCGTGCGGTGAGGAAGGCCTTCAGGGAGAGTTATGTTGATCGCTGTGGACCCTTGGGAGTTCAGCTTTGCACTAAATACAGGTTACTTGATTTCCTGCTGGGTTGTTTTGTTCATCAAGTTTAAACATGGTTACACTACATCGCATTGCAATAAAAATACCAAATGTCAGAGCCTTTCCTGTCTCGTGGTTGTGTTTGCAGGATAAACCAGGCCAGAGTTTATCTTCAGGCCTACAGGGTGGGCTACAGAATCCAGTGTCCTGACAAGAAGGGCAGATAAACACTGCTGCTACCCCTAAAGAAACGTTCATCATTTTCACCAAAGAGCCGTTTTGGAACAACTTGCAAAGGCAAAGCCACTTGAGCCGCATCAAGGCAACCTCTAACTGTGAAATCAGATGAAATGGAATAAGTCTGAGGAACTCTGAGGGGAGTTTCACTCTTATATTGTACCCTGGTGTTGGACAGAACAGTGGATGAAAACTGTGTTATTTTCTTTGGTTTGTGTTGACATTAGATGACTCTGTTTATAATACAGTAATAAAATGTTTAATTTATGCTTTAGGCTATAAAATGTTTCCATCAATTGTGTTATTGTGCCAGTAGTTAGAACAGTCTTATTGTGTGAAGATGTTTCATTGGTTGTTTGAACATTTTGACAGTTAAGGGCGTGGAACACACAAAAACACACATTTTAATTATTATTTCTCATTATAATCAGCCACTTTGAGTTTTTCATGCAGGCTGAATGTGAAAATAGTCTCCTACACCTATCTCCTGCATTAATTTCTGATAGAAAATAGATGATGAAACTCTGATTAGAAAAGCCTGACAGATCTACGTCCCACTGTCACTTAACATTCATGGACTCACCCATCATAACTTATGTTAGTGTCCAGGAAACAGCAGAGAACGTCTCGACTAGTACCGTTATCATTATCTCCAACACATGGCAGAGCTACTTCAGGGTTGGCAGTTATGTTTGCTTTTATCACCCCATAGTGTCCGTTATTATTCTCTGTGGTCAAACCGAAAGCAACACCTTAATCCAACAGCTGAAATGTCTCCAGATTGCAGGTATGCCTGTTAAATTTTCCAGCAAAGCATCCCGCCAGTCTGAAAATCTGTTTTATTGAGCTCTTCAAATTAGTGCCAGAGTGATGCTGTAGCTGCAGTTTGTCACACGCAGCAGGCTTGAAAAGAATCAGGTGCTGCATTAAGGAGGTGAAGCAAATGAAATGTTTTTTGTGATCAGGTTCTCTCTGGGAGAAAGCTGCTGGCCTGAGACGCAACAGTCACACTTAGATTAGTAATCACTGAAACGGCGGGGCAGTGATCACAAGACTTCCTCTTTGGTCTGAGAATGAGTAAAATTTCTTTCAGCTCACAGGTTCTTGAATAATATTAATACAAACAAAATATCAATTTATTCTTGCTTATTTACAACTATCCAGGTGTGTGGGCGAGAGAGGCTGGGGGAGATGCTCAGTGATGTCTTTCTCTCTTTATAGATTTATACTCATCAGCTGAATAACAGCAATAATAATAATAATAATAATAATAATAATGATAATAGAAATAATATAAATTCATGATGTACAGCAACACAGACTGCAAAGTCATTTGTTAAATTATGAAAACATTTTATACAATCTTCATAAAACATGTGATTTTCTTACTGATGACACATTTAGTGTGTGTGTGTGTGTGTGTGTGTGTGTGTGTGTGTGTGTCTGCTCTGTCTTCTCGATCCCCATTGGGTCGAGGTGAAACACAAACCGTCTGCTCTGAGACATCTTCCATGTGACTGTACGATCTATTTTGCATCTGATGCAGCTTGCAAAGAAAGCTTTGGCCTTGGGGTCAAAAGAGAGGATGGTTCCTTGTGCTTTGCTTACCCCGTTGGCTAAACCGGGAAGCTGGCTGCAACTGAAATGTTCAGGGAGTGAACAATGTCTGTCTATCTAGATTTCTAGGATATGTATGAGGTACATACTGTATATTTGGTTTCACTGAGTGTGCTGCTAATGCAGGAAGCAGTGGAAATATAAAAATGTTAAACCAGACGCAGAAACCAATTCACACAAAGCACTCAAACGATGAAAAAGGACCCTTTTATTTGTTACTGAAGGAGTATAAAAACGTTTTGTGGATTAGGATGAACAGAAACAAGATCGACAAACAAAAACTCTACAGGCTGAGCAGGAGCAGAACATGTGCAGGATTGTTTTTTATTGGTGCATTGTACTAGAGTACACCAACTTTAAATCCTCTGATAAATTTGAGCTAATCTATGTTTTGAGGTGGATCTTATCAAGTATGATGATTATTTACAGGAACTGATAAATGGTTGCAGCTTTATGAGATACAACTGCTGTGGCGTTGACAGTGTGTCATAAATCTCAAAATGAGTTGTGCAAAATGGATCTTAACGTGAAGTGGCACAAATTTCATATGGTTCTGGTGACAGAGTTACTCCAGGGCGGTAATCCATCACAACTTCTTTCCCAGCAGGCATGGAGAAAGTGAAGTGTTGCATGAAGGAGGTGAAGAAGAGGAAAAGCTCCATCCTGGCCAGATTCTCCCCAAGGCACAGACGTTTTCCTAAGATGTAAAATAAATAAATCAATGTAGAGATATCAGCACCTAATTAAAGGACCTAGATCCCTGGGATATCCGTCATCTGTTTCTTGGAAACCTCTGAGCGACATTCCAAAGTGATTTGTTCTCACCTGCAGAAAAAGGCATGAACGCTGGTTGTTTTACAAACTTGCCCTCCTTATTCAAAAAGTGTCCTGGATTGAAAGTAAAAGGCGTTTCCCACTGGTTCTTGTCATACAACACCGAAGCTAGATTGGGGATTATCAGCACTCCCTGGAAGAGGTTAGTTGATCAAATAAGGATGTATTAATACATAAAACAGTTTACTCTGACTGAACTGGTTTAATAGTTACCTTTGGGATGGTGTGTCCTCTCAGTTGAATTTCCCTGTTAGTGGCATGCGGTAAACTTAGAGGAACTATGTTGCCCATCCGTTGGATCTCATGGATAACAGCATCGGTGAAGGGCAGGTTTGCACGGTCTGCCATAGTTGGCTGCCTGGACTGTCCAATCACTCGGTCTATCTCAGCTTGAACCTTCTCTGTACAAAGATATAAATTGTGGTTGTTGATGACACTTGGAAACCAATATTACTGATCTCAAAGAAATGTCTTAATCCTCCCACTTTTCTAATGGGTGCAACCCCACGAGGAAAGTTGACCATTGGGCAGGGTTGATGGTTTATCCCTTGGGTCCACATGGCAGGGGTGAGGAATGAGCACCACCTCACCCCTGCCACGTGGACCTCAAGGGATAAACCCTCAATCCTGCTCAATGGTCAACTGTCATGGTCTGGGTCTGGGTCTCTTTGTGTTCCTCTTGTGTCCCCTGGTCTTCAGCCCTCCAGATATTCCCTCTCAGGTCCTGTGTTCCTTCAGTCTCCCCACCATTATTTCCGTAGGTCTATTATTCCAGGTGTGTGTGTGTTTATGTCCTCCTCCAGCTGTGTGTGTCCTTTCCCAGTTAGGTCTGGTGTCCTCTCCTGCTTCTCCTCCCTGATTAGTTATCACTTTCCCCTGGTTCTCTCCCCTCACACCTGCAGCTCATCATCCTCCCATTATGCCCCAGTGTATTTAAGCCCTGTCGTGTCTCAGTGTCTTGTTGGCCCATTGTTGTTTGTTGTTTGTCAGCGTTGTTTTAATGCTCGAAGTGAGGTTTTGTCTCGTCCCCAGACTTAGTGCTCTAGATGAGCCTTTGGTTCAAAGTCTCAGGTTTTTGTGCTCCATTGGAGTTTTTTCTGTGTCCTGGATCTCAGGATTTTTGGATTTATTGGCTCGTTGCCATTTGGATTTATATTTTGTTTCATCCTACAAATAAACTGATTATTTCTTTATATCAACTACTGCCTCGTGTCATCTGGGGTTCCTGCATTTTGGGTTATAATCTCCTCCAAACCCTTCATCGTGACATCAACTTTCCTCGCGGGGTCACCCATAAAGACAGTGGGAGGGTTAAAAATGAATTATTGCTGAAAGCTCTCACTTTGGATCTCAGGATATTTAGCCATGTAGAGAAATCCCCAACGCAGGGTGGTGGATGTGGTTTCAGAACCAGCCACAAACAGATCCACAACACAAATGATCAAGTTCTCATCATCAAAAGTGTTGTCTTCCTGCCCCTTACTCTGAGGAAATATGACAAATACACTTTAAAATGTGCTACGCCTACTAACAATAAAGAGCAACACAGTCCTAGCACAATCCTATTCAATACTATATAAACATGGCAGGAATTTTTAAATATCATGTTAACTAAATTAAGCAACGTGTTTTGGAGGCAGACTTTGTGAGCAGTTTGCAGCCGAGTGTGAAGCAGTTGGGATGAGAATCAGCACCTGCTCCTCTAAATCCGAGACGGTCTTGGGTCGGAAAAGGACAGAATGCCTTCTCCAGGTCAGGGACGAGGTCCTGCCTCAAGTGGAGGAGTTTAAGTGTCTCGGGGTCTTGTTCATGAGTGAGAGAAAGATGGAGTGCGAGATCGAAAGTTAAAGTCCCATTAGTTGTATCACTCACTGATATGTGTGCGAAAATTGTTCACCGCATTTGACACACGCATTTGCTCAAATTTCTTTTCTGAAATTATGTATTTAATAATGAAAGTAGTTTGTTTTAGGATGATTATTTGATGCTCTGAATGTTTAAGACAAAGCAGCAATGAATTTCAATTTATTTCAAATAATTGTTTGGTTGTTTGTTTAAAAGTTGTCGATAAAGGTATTTGAAAAAAGCATCACATCAGCCAGCATCCCTGCATGCATTGCGATCGATGACTCAATGCCCCCTGTTCGGCAATTCCGCAATTATTTGCACACTAGTGTACCACACACTTGAAGCCTTACTGCGCATTTTCTCCAAGTGCACTTTGCTGAAGACTGCAGGGTGCAGTACGAGTATTGGGTAAGATTAGCTGGACCCTGATTGCATTTTACACAGTTAGATTCTGTACCTGGAAATATTTGAGCCAACCTGCTTCTGGACCAGTGAATCCTATGTACTACCTTACATTGAAGTATGCAGTGCCTTGCACAAATTGAGGAGGAGTGAATATGCCTTAGGGTTGATTCCCATTGGCTGTTATTAATCTCCATGTTAAGTTCCTCAGACCAAGCAACACGAAGGTAATTAGATCGCACCCCAAACGTGGAGAGCAGAAAATTATAAAGTTTGGATATCGCTCCTTTCTGGGAGGGTTTAATCTCCATCATATCATCTAGCATAGTGTTCACAGGTACAATGGGAGAACCCATAAAATATTTTCTGATAAAGTCCCTGGCCTGCAGGTACCGGAAAAAATGTGAATTTGGCAGTTGGTATTTAAGCGACAGCTGTGTAAATGAGGCCAAAACGCCATCTACAAAAAAGTCCTTCACATGGATCAGCCCGTGGCTCCTCCATACCACAAAAGTTTTATCTAACAGGGATGGAGGAAAAAGCAGATTCTGGTCAAATGGTGAGTGCAAAGGTATACCCTGGGTTTTAATATGACACCTCATTTGAGACCAAATCTTAAGACAGTTTTTAACTATAATATTGCTAGTGTACAAATGCGGGCTAACATTTGAAGGGAGACACAGGAGAGAGAGCAAAGAGGCAGAGTCAGATGTGGCCTCCTCCAGTTGCAGCCAAATTGGCTCTGTAGATTTGGTCTGACACCAAAATAACATTGTGCGAATATTAACAGCCCAATATTAATACTGAAGATTTGGGAGGGCAAGGCCCCCCTGGTCCTTACTTTTCTGTAGAAGGCTCTTGCGCATTCTGGGAGGTTTTTGTTCCATAAAAACTGTGAAATAGAACTGTCAAGAGTCTGAAAAAAACTTTTTGGAATGAACACCGGGATGCATTGAAAGAGATACAGGCATCTTGGCAAAAAGTTCATTTTAATACAGCTAATCCTTCCTGCTAAAGAAAGAGACAGCATAGACCAGCGCTGCAAATCCTGAGCCAATTGCTCCAACAGAGGTTCAAAGTTAGTTTTAAAAAGTTTTGAGAAGTCCTTGGTTACATGGATACCCACATATTTAAAACTTTGCAGGATAGCCTTAAAGGGCGGACTAGAAAGTGGGTATGCCATTACAGCTGAGTTAATCGGAAGGATTTCACTTTTATCAAAGTTAAGCTTATATCCAGATATCTGTCCAAAGTCCCTCAGCAAAGATAGAATTGGAGACATGGAATTATCTGGGTCCGACATAAAGATCAATAGATCATCCGCATACAACGACACTCTGTTGTCACAGCCACCACGTTGAATGCCTTTCATGGCACTCGCCCTAAGGGCTGCCGCCAACGCTTCTATTGCTATTACAAACAAAGATGGAGAGAGAGGGCACCCCTGGTGAGTCCCGCGACCTAGGGAGAAAGGCTTTGAGAGATAATTATTCGTACGAACTTGTGCCAAAGGTGAAGTATACAATAGTTTAATCCAAGAGATAAGAGTGGGACCAAAACCAAAACGTTTTAGAGTATAAAATAAATAGGGCCACTCCACCCGGTTGAAAGCCTTTTCAGCATCCTGTCATGAGCCGGGGTGAGTACTCTCTTTCTCTTAACCATCTGTGAGTCTCTTGCCAGGAGAGGGAGTGGTCCAGCTGTTCCTGATCAGCAATCAGCGGGGTGTTTTCCTTTTTATGGTGGAAGGAGGACACAATTCGACGCCGGAAGATTGCCTCAGCTTGGTAGTAGCCAACCACTCGAGTTATCTCTAGTATTTCTTGGATTAATGTTATTCGTAGTGTTTGCTCTTAGTATTTTTGGATGTTGACCTTTCTTGCTTCGCCTGGAACTGATTTGGATTTTTTCCCCCTCTTCAGGATTCCTGTCGGCCTCTTTGGATACTTACCTCTACTCCAGGATTTGGATATTCAGCACGTGGACCATATCACTAACCTCCATAACCCACCTCTCATCTCAACCCAGTGCCCCATCCACCAGGACGCCACGCTTCTCTCCACCTATGCTTCCTCTCCCGCGCTTCCCCCGACTCTCTACCTCTCCCTCCTCTGGCCAACATCTACACGCCCCACAGTAAGTTTTGCTGAACACCTCTGCCTACAATGGACTTCTCCCTCCTCCAGACGCTAAGCTGTCGTAGCAGTTCCAACCACAGACTTATCTGTGCATCCTAAGTTCCTCCTTTATAAATAAATCATTTTTCCATCCGTTTTTGGTCTGTGTTGCATTCTGCATGTCTTGGGTTAGGTACCTTCCTCCAAACATGACACATCCATAGATTTGACCAGTTCCCAAGTGTCAGATGATGAAGATGAACACAGAATATTAAGTAAGCACCTCACACTATGGTATGGATGTCTGGTCCTGACGAAACCTGTTTGTTCTGGATTAATAATTGAAGGTATTACCAATTCCAAGCGTCTCGCCAACATTTTGGCCCAGATTTTAACGTCTGCACACAGTAAAGAAATAGGGCGGTAGTTACTACAGAAGCGAGGGAATTGAATTGGATGAATGGATGGATGAATGGATGGATGTTTTAGAGAAACAGACGTACACTCATTAGCCAAGAAGCCAAAAACTAAAGCCAGCCTTATGAGAATGTCTAAAACTAGTCTTGTAGGGTGAAGCTAATCTCAACACTTCACAATTTTTCTCCAACAATTTGAGAATTTTCTCTATATCAAAAAAAAAAAAAAAAGAAATGATGCCCACAGAGACAAATAAAAACATTTATGGCTGCTTCACAAAATGTCACAAGACATAAATGATCTTCATGAGTAATATGTGAGTATGTCTACCACCAGGTGGCAGGACAGAATGAGAGGTAGGTAAGAGAGACTAAGGGACTGAGATTTAACATGGATGTCTGATAGACTGCAGGTTCAATAAAGCTTGGAGAAGGAATTTTTGACTACTCATGCTAATTCCTGGTACAACGGCCGACTATTACAAGTATCTCTGTGTGTAGCATTGGTCACCGTATGAATCTCGTTCAGGTAGCAGTCAATGTAGTCCTTTTGCTCTGAGGGATCCCAATTCTTCTTGTGCTCATTCAGCTCTCCTCGTACAAAGCTCTTCACGTCGCACCAGATCTGTTTAAGAGTCTGATGTGGACCCGGCAGATATCTCATCACCAGAGGGAATGAATTGTAGAGCTGCACAAAGACACATAAACAATTTATCAATTCTTGCAACTGCCAGAATCCGAATTATGGTGATTCCCTTTATATGGCTGTGTTTCTGAGGTGTAGCTTGTGATATTATGAATTGTTTAAAACAAAGGTATTAAATTCTGGGCCTGGAAGGCTGGTATCAAGCATACATACCACCAACCACTGGATAGATTTTAATAAAACTATGAAAGTTTTGTTGGGTGGGTTGATTAACTTTGGAGTAATGGGTGTGTATTTACAGTAAGTATACAAAAATATGTAATGTAATGGGAAACAGGCTTCAACACAAGCGGCTGTTTTCCACTTGGTCCTATGCTCAGCCAGTGTCTATTGATTATAGCGTCAGATTGTTTTTGGATGCAGTGCAGGGGTCAAAAATTGACCCCCTCCTCCTAAAACTACATCCATGAACGTGACTTCCACTGACTTGCAACACGGATGTTTCATCTTCACAAATAACACAAAACTGGAGGATTTCTGCCATGTGGCAAAGTTGCTAATGCTAACAGTTAGCTTCTACTAGCCAAGATGTTCTCTGCTGTTTCCTGGCACTAAACCAACAACAGCTTTCCCCGTCATGAGTCAAGAAGGATGAGTCCATGAATGTTAAGTGACAGTGTGACGTAGATCTGTCGTGTTTTTCAAATCCTTGCGTTCCGAAGCTAATGCAGGAGAAAGGTATAGGAGAATATTTTCATGTTCAGCCTGCGTGAATCAGAAATAAGATTTTTAAAATGTTTTTTCAGTGTTTCACACAAAATGTCATGCAATCAGTATTAGGCTTTAATCAGCTTTAAGAGACAGTACCTGACTCCAAATAGAGGACTGAATGAAGAGGGCTTGGTCAAAAAGGAGCATCAGTTTCCTGAAACCCTCATTACTGTACTCAAAGCGATGACCAAAGACCAGCTGACAGATGATGTTGGAAACAGCGTTGTTGATGGTGAGATGTGGATTGAATGGCTTATCTTCAAAATGAATCAGAACATTTTAAGTACATGGTGCATTTCTATACAGTGAATGTGTTTAGCTGTATTTACTTTTAAAGCCTCTGAATTCTTCTGCACAATGTGTGAATTCATCCAGGATGACAGGTTCAAGAGATTTCTTTCCAAAGCCAAAGTATCTGAGGGTAGAGAGTGCAAAACGTCTCTGCTGTTTCCAGATGTTTCCGTTGCTGAAAATTACACCTAATAAGAAAAACAAGAGGAACAAAACAGCCAAACGTATTCACTGAACATCAGGAGTTGAAATTTAACGTCTCTGTTTGTGGTTTGATCTGAAAACATCTCAATGGAAGTACAACGTGTACTACTCAAGCTGTTCCTGTTCCAGACCACTGCTCATTGTTTACAAAGTTAAGTTTATTACAGGACAACTAGATTGTGCCTCAGCCTTCAGTTCAGATAACAATTAAAGTCGCTGCAAATCACTCTAAGAGATGAAAGAAGAAATGATCTTTTATAGAGCGCCTTTCAAGATAAAGTTCACAATGCACTTCACAAGATCAATAAAAATAAAAAAAGATTGAAAAAGATCAGAATAAAAATGGGAGAAAAAATTACAAATTTGGATTAAAAAATGTGAATACAAATGAAAAAGAAAAAGGTAATCATGGCATTCCAAAAGTGACAGAATTTATAATGCCAGCACAAAGAAAAGCTATTGAGGAAAGACTTCTTTTGAGATAAAACTACAAGCTTTGTTCTTTTTAAACTTTTTAAAGCTGTACTAAGAATTATTTTCAGAAACTTCTCTGAGCCTCCATAAAGCACATTAAACTCTGTTAGGGCTCAAAACGGCCCAGGAGCCCTGAAGTCTTGCAAAGCCACGTTCCTCACAAGAAGCGTTACCGCTTTACAACAATCAATGTTTGCACCTCCTAACAGACATAATGGCTGGCGTATAGTGCATCATCGTGGTGGAGCCATGTGAGTTTTGTGGCTCACATATTATGAACAAAGAATACGTTCCTCTTCAGCCTTTTTGAAAAGAGATCAACTGGCCTCCACCCAGCCGGCTGAGACGAAAATCTGTTTCCATGTAACCTTCCCTACAACGTGATTGAGATTTAAAATGTTTTGTGATTACTTCACTGCAGAATTTATACTCATTTCACATTTAATATTCAAAGCAATTAAAATCAGAGCATCCAATTAGAAATTTAAATAAAACAAGAATTCAGAAGTCTGAATTTTATATTCGTGGATCATACCATGAACAGACTCTGTCAAGCAGACAAGAAGCAGTTCAGTCGCATTTTGCAATGCAGAAAATTACAGAATCTTACACTAACCAGTAATCACACAAAAGAGCTGAGAAATGAAATGATGCAAGTTTGGGTGTGTGTGTGTGTGTGTGTGTGTGTGTGTGTGTGTGTGTGTGTGTGTGTGTGTGTGTGTGTGTGTGTGTGTGTGTGTGTGTGTGTGTGTGTGTGTGTGTGTGTGTGTGTGTGTGTGTGTGTGTGTGTGGAAGTGCAGTCTGCTCAGTTACCTAGTCCACCTGCTACTTCATTCTGCAGAGTGAGGAAAGGGCGGTCAACCATGCTGTCTCCCTTTGTTACCAGGCCTTCGGTTACAGCCTCATACCCATTTAACACCACGGCCCATTTCTGACCAAACTGCAGGCTGAACACGTCTCCATGTGTGTTTGCCAACTGAGGTGAGCATTCAGAAAAGAACAAAAATAATGGCTCATAAATATAATAGGAGGACAAGCTTAGCTAAAAATATTAGAAGGTTAGTTGGTACCTCCATGAGACTCTCATGGGGCCTCTTTTGGTCCATGGTGAACAAGTTACCCAGAATTGGAAGAGTTCGAGGTCCGGGAGGAAAGCCAGCAGGTCGACGGTTTCTAAGAAAATCTGCAGAGATGACAAAAATAACCATAAAGATGAGCAGACTTTTTAGATCCCACTCAAAATAGGATACACATGAGGCAAAAAAAGAATCCATACTAAAAAAACAACTAATTACAACTCTATGTCTAACTCAAAACGGTGCCTTTTGTTTCTGCAATGAAAGGCAAATGCTTTGTAGGAGAAAACATCAGAACTGCCAATTCTCCAACAGGATAAGGCTCAGTTTGATTGTTTCACAACAAATATGTTACCAATTACATGGACTATGATCTCTATTGCTAATAAAAAAAGAAATATGTAGATTAGTTCATCCGTAACACGGAAATTAAGCAATAATTCCACTGTAATTAAACTCTAGCTAAGAAGCTAAACCACTGCCCTTCCAACTGGAAAGTTGGCAGGTTAGTGGCTTTCTGTGGCTGCACATTAGTGCCCTTTGGCAAGAAATGGCAATTCAATTCAGCTTTTCAATTAAGTTGATTTATGTAGCGCCAAATCATGACAAGAGTCATCTCAAGGCACAAAGTAAAGATTCCGACTGGGTTCAGTTTATTATGCCTGTTAGTTAAAAGTTTCCTATAGAAGGAACCCGCCAGCTGATTGCATCTGTCACTGACTTGTATAACATACAGAAAGTACAGAAGAAAATGCAACATGGTTCATTTGTTTGTTTATTTTTAAAAAGGATGCCTTGAAAATTATTATTTTTGTTATTGTTATTATTATTTAGGATTTGGTTATTATCTGTTGATGTAATGCCACTTTTTAAACAAACAATGGCAGAAAGAAAAATCATTTTAAAAACAAATTCCTATTGCAGAATGAAACAAACCCTGATCTGAGTCATATAAAACTTTTAAGGCCAGGACACCTGTGTAAACAAATTGTCCTGCTGTCACATTCTGCCCCTGCCCTCCTGACTGTGTTTCTCTCCTGCCCTGATTAGTCCGTATTGTTCTCACCTGTCCCTTGTTAACCTGCCCATGTTTCCCTAATAAGTCTTCTGTATTTATACCATCTGTTTTGCTCCTGTCCTTTGTCAGATCATTGTTGCTTGTAGTCCTTGTGTTTTGTTCCTGTCGTTCCCAGTCCTCCATTAAAACCATTTTACTTTTACTGAAGCCTGCATTTTTTACCTCCTGGTCAGCTCTGCCACACATGGTCCGCCGTCATCCACACCTACATCGTGACACCTGCAGGCATTTGCTTCTGAAGCATGGCTGCTTTCTTTGATAATTGTGTTTTGATTAACTTTGAAAGCTGCATTTGCTTTGTACTTGTTCAAATTACAATATGCAACAGTAAATTTGTCGATAACTTTAAAAAATTTGCAGCACATTTAGGATTTATTCAGCCAAGCGTCCTACACAGGCATCTAACCTTAAATCCCGCCCTCCAACCCTCATGGGCAAACCTTTCCTCTGATTGTCATCTACAGTCATAGGTGCTAGTAAGCCATAAGTACATTTATAAGTGCATAATCACACAAAAGCACATATTAATCTATTGTTTTATGATTTTGCACTATTTGATTTTTGGTGAGAATTGGCTTTTTTATGAAAACTGAAAAAAAAAACTGTCACAAAAATTATGAAAACACACATGCACACTAGTGTATGACATCCCTTAAGAACACTCAAAACAATATTTGTTTGAAATGTATGTTGCATTGTGAATCCAGGGGCCACAAGATCTTAAAAATGTTAATCACTGAAGTGCATTCAGAATCAATGCCCTGCCATTCATAGATAATTCATGACATTTGGTGGGGAAAAAGTAAAAACAACTATTTCAGGGTTAGCAAGCCCATCACGCCCATCTACTTCACGACCATGGGTCCGTGGGAGGAGTCTTTTGGAATTTGTTCAAGGAAGGTCCAGCCTTTCTCACCTCTGATTGGCTAGAAGGGCTCTCATACAATAGGCTTTTTCATGTAAGAGGAAACACTTTTTCCAAAACTTCAAATGAACTTGTATTAAATCTTGTTGCATTTTATCACATTGTTAGAATAGATCTATCTATCTATCTATCTATCTATCTATCTATCATCTATCTATCTATCTATCTATCTATCTATCTATCTATCTATCTATCTATCTATCTATCTATCTATCTATCTATCTATCTATCTATCATCTATCTATCTATCTATCATCTATCTATCTATCTATCTATCTATCTATCTATCTATCTATCTATCTATCATCTATCTATCTATCTATCTATCTATCTATCTATCTATCTATCTATCTATCTATCTATCTATCTATCTATCTATCTATCTATCTATCTATCTATCTATCTATCTATCTATCTATCTATCATCTATCTATCATCTATCTATCATCTATCTGTCTGTCTATCTATCTATCTATCTATCTATCTATCTATCTATCTATCTATCTATCTATCTATCTATCTATCTATCTATCTATCTATCTATCTATCTATCTATCTATCTATCTATCTATCTATCTATCTATCTATCTATCGATCTACTTTTGCTGCCTCTTGGCCAGGACTCCCTTGAAAATTAGGTTTTTAATCTCAAAAAGACCTTCCTGGTAAAATAAAGAATAAATAAATTAATTAAAGTTAATTATCAAATCAAACTTAATTTATAAAGCACCTTACAGGCATGACATGTGCCACCAAAGTGCTGCACAATTTAAATAAAACAGATAAAACCAACAGGGACAGCTAAAAACCAACAATATACACATAACAGAATAAGAGCATGTAAAAATTGCTGCAACAGCTAACCAACAAAGTTAAAAGCCAAATCATAAAAGTAGGTCTTTAACCTTATCCACAGTTTTTCTCAGTTGCTTTCTCACAACAGAATTAAACTTTGCACAACAGTTAGTTCAACCTCCACAACTTGTAGTCATTTTGGCACAACCTAGTGGCGGTTTCACATTCATTTCGTCCAAAGGCAAATGCCTTTGGATATGAAGCAGTTGAGTAAGTACAAATGTCTAAAGAATGGTCACTTTTGACTTGCTATTCATCACTATCTCCTTGCTCCTACTTACTCAACTGCTTCATGTCCAAAGGCATTTGCCTTTGGATGAAATGAACGTGAAACCGCCACTAGGTTGTGCCAAAACGACTACATGTTGTGGAGGTTGAACTAACTGTTGTGCAAAGTTAAATTCTGTTGTGAGAAATGCAACAAAGCAACTGAGAAAAACTGTAAATATTATCAAGAGTGCATATGAAGTGTCTTGATTTTCCTTTACAATTTATGGTTTTCAACATGCCACGCATACTGTCCAGATTTGACATGTCATTTGGAAGCACCTACAAAGAAATCCATCACAATGAGAACATGTTCAAACCATTTGATTTTGTGACCAGAGGTGCTAGTGTAATGACTTGTAATTGTGACAGCCCTGACACTTTGATTGATATAAGTACTTGCTTTTGACAAATATATTATCTGTTTTGATTAAGGGACTTGCTTTTGAAGAATTGACTACTTATTTTGAGCAACTGACTTTTCTTTTTGATGAAGTGACTCACTTTTGCAAGTTATCCACCATGTTTTGCAGTTTGCACTAATTGTTTTGAGAAGAGCCTTAGTAGTGGTGCAGAGATCAATTCTGTTGTGAGAAATGCACCAAAGCAACTGAGAAAAACTGTAAAAACCTCTACTGATGGGGAGAGCCTAACGGTTAAGGGAAGGCCATTCCACAATCTCAGACCCGCTACCGAGAACGCCCTATCCCCTCTTGTCCTCAGCTGAGCTCTGGGAACTGAGAGCAGTAATTGGTTCACAGAACGGAGTGCACGAGCAGGAACACATGGCTGTAATACCTCTGATGAATAGGCAGGGGCCAACCCATTCATTGCCTTGAACACCATTAAAAGAAGTTTAAAACTAATTCTAAAACTAGCTGGCCGCAGAGAAGCCAGTATCGGAGTTGTGTGTTCATACTTTCTCTTGCCTTCCAAAAATCTTGCTGCAGCATTCCGAACAAGCTGTAAGCGAGCTGCAGTACCCTGACTTACACCAAAGAAGACAGAGTTACAGTAGTCAAGGCGTGAGGTGATGAATTAATCACTGTATCAATTAATTAATTCTTTCATTCATTCCTTAACAGTCAGCGCATCAGAGATGGTGCGGTGACCAACGCACGAATTGCGTCATGGCTGCTGCCACTTCAAAGCTTCAACATTGAAGTATGCTACGCCCAGAACCGCCGTAGCCCTCTTGGCATGGGTTTGGCTGCGTGCCATCACTGCTCGGACGACGCCGTCACGTCAGTCCTGCCAGCTAGCCCTCCTCAGACTCTTCTAAACCCCAACCACCACTACTTCAACCAGTCTCTCTGTGTGGACTTGCCGACCGTGTACATCGATGGCAGTTCTTTTCAACACGGTGATGCGCCTAGGTCAGGCGTGGGTGTGGTCTGGTTGCACACTGACCAGAAGGACTCCCAGTGTTACTGGTTGGGTCCTAAGACCTCACAGTTTGCAGAAGTGGCTGGGATCTTGATAGTACTACAACTTGCTGTGGTCCATGGAATCCGTGAGCTGGTGATTTGCACCGACTCGGACTATGCGCGTCTCAGTTTCATTTGTCATCAACCTTCTTGGAAGAGTAATGGGTTCCTGACCTCAAACCGGAATCCCGATAAACATCAAGACCTCTTCATGGCTTGTGATGCCTGTAACGGAATGAAATGACTGTTTTCCGCCTAAAAGTCATTTTCCCCCTCTCCTCTGACACAGAACTAATCTGCATGAGATATTGCCTCAAGGTCTCATGCATTTGCTCTAAAAACTGCTTTCTTTCCAGCTCAAGAGAAGAATGAAGAAAAGGACTCTCTCTTTTTAATCAATCAAAGAACTCTATTTTTAATAAAGCTAATCAAAGTGTTAGTCAATAATAAGATGTGACCAATCTGTGAAATGAAAATATTAATTACCTTACTATAATCCTATAGAATATAATAAGTAATATAACTTTAAATGTTTCCACTAGGACTGATCTCACGTAGCGTTAAGACATGACACATTGCTTTTACTGATCCAATCAGAATCTGCCAGATCTGACAGAGACGTGGTTTTGGTGGTGCTTGGTAAATCTGTCACCTTTTCATTCGACCAGAAACCAAAACATCCGAAGTATAAAACTATGCCCATGTCATCTTTAACGCCGTTCAAAGTGTTTTAGAGAGGTTGACGGAAAGGCCAATCCGTAACTCTTCTCTTT